GTAGGAACTACACTTTCCAGGAACCCTGGAGGAAACAAGAGGGTTATAAGTTAACAAGAGAAAAGGATTGAAGGACAGAGAGAAAGAAACTAAACTTCACACCCTCTTCCCAATAGAACCACCTTTGCTCTTACTGTAGGTTTTTGGGCCAATGACCGCTTTCAACTCACACTTTCTGCTGGAAAAATAAATTAGGAGTCCCGCTTAATTTTGTCAATAGAAAGCTTAAAGTGGTCACTGGACCACAAAGAGCTTTTCAAAGGGAAGCTGAGCTCAACAGGGACAAGGAAGAGGATGTTGAGAGCACCACAAAAATAAAGGCAGATTAAAATTATTAAGGGTGCACCAGTTTTGAAGAATAAATAGAAGGCTTTTGTAACAGTTCCTACACTCTTGTATCTATCTATTGCAGGCTACTTTTCTTTAGATTAATATATATTACTTAAAAATAACTTTGCCAGGGCAGAGAAGTAGTTCATGTTGGTCTTTATAAAGACAAAACCCAACAACAGAAATTAGTAAAATAACTAGGTATTTTCTCCCTGAATACACAGGATTATGCTTCGCATTTATGCTGTAAAACATTGGATCCAGTACAAGCAGTTGTACTGCAATGGGGTTTGCTATGCTAAATACTTAAGCTGTGTGCCCAGTCTTTCAAAATCTGAGCTTATTCTCTCTTCAGAGCTTTGTAGGGTTGAGTCAATAGCGTATTAGTTTTGCATGGCTGTTCCTAGATAACAGTAATAAAAATTTAAAACTTGTTTACATCATTTAACATGTCTAAAAGCTTAGCTCAGGACACTAAAAAAAAAAAAACAAACAAGCAAGCAAGCAGAAAACTGCAGTTCTTTAGAATAGTCTCTGCTATTGAAAATAAGTTACACCAGCAAAAAGAATGTTTTGCCAACACTGAACCAAAACCAGTCTTATTTATCAACTAGAGCAATGACTGGCATGAAGAGATTTCAAGGAATTTCCTCTTCTCTCTGAAGATATCTATAAGCTTTTCTACTACCCCAGACTGCATGTTACAGTGATTGCAAGATGGATCCTAAGCAGTAGCCTTTATCAGAGCACATAAAACGTGTGATGGAGACTCAAAGCAAATCAGGCAATTCTACCAATCTTATCAAAAGATCTTCCCCCATTTGAATAGCACCTTCAGATCTAATAAATGTTAAATCAGCAGTTTAGAAAGTACCCCTCCACTAGTTTTTTAACTTGTATTAATATATATTAAGATTTGAGCAACATTTATACACAGATACCCATGGACTGTTCAACATTCTCAAATTGCATTTGTGGTTCAACTTCTGTAAAGTACGGTGATATTTTTAGGAACAAAGAGGAGGCATCTCTCGTCTGTTTTAAGTTACACATGAAAAATACTGAGTATGTTAGCAACAAGTAGATCGGCATGCAGAAATTTCACAAAGGAAAAAAAAATAAGAATGCCAAAAAACAATTAGAGCATTAGTGCAAAGGAAATAATGCAAATGGGCAATGATTTGCCATCCTTGCATTTTCAGAATCACAGTTCTAACTGAATTCTGCCTACCTTCATTTAGTATCTGCTACTGTGTAATAAGCACAGTATTAAAAAAAAAAAAAAAACAAACCCACCATACGTCTTCATATTTACATGCTACCTAGAAAGCTCCCGATAATCTGGAAGCAGATAGAACTCAAAAAGGTGCCTCTTTCCCAGTGAGGACATTATTTCCCCTCTAAGGGCCTGGGGCAGTGTCCCTCAAATGCTAATAGCTTGAGTTGTGTGCAATAGCCCTATATTGTTTATATAGCACTTCACATGTTCAAAGCACTATGAGATATCAGCCATCACTACACTTTTATGAGACTGTAAGTATTACCCACTAAACATTAGAGTTCAAATGACTTGCTCTTGATCAAAAGAAACTTTGTGCAGCAGGACCATAATTATTTGAATTTGGCAACTCTTGCAGTCCGTTCCTATGGTGATTCAGAAAGAAGAGGGGGTTGGGATGTTGAAGCCAGTTGCTACTTCACTCTGCTCCAGCAGTGATATGCAGATACATACAGAATCCCTAAGGTATCTTGTGCTCAAGAAGCACCTTTTCTGGTAAATTAAAAAAATAATTTTAGGAAGTCAAAAGCACAAATTAATATATATTAAAACCCCCCAAACATGTTTTTCTGAATACATGTATTTCATATGATCACTGTGAAGAACGTGTAAGACAAAATACACATTGTACTGAAACACTCAGAAATCCTAAGACAGGGGTCTCTATTCATGCTGAAGCAGTTCGAGTTGTTTTTGGTTTTTTTTTTTTTTTTGAGCAAAAAGGATTAGTAAAAAAGGTACAAGTAGTCAGCCCATTTTCTGCAGGTAAAAAGCTGCATTTCGTTTTCTAACACTTGACTACAGAAGGATCCAATAACGTAGAAATACAGAATATGTTTAATCCCCATTTTCATAGATACTTCCACTCTATGAAAACTCAGTTGTTACACTAACATTTATAAATCTAACCTCGTAATATCAAGCCTCTATTACCATAGAATACATACAAAGACAAAAAGAAATGTTGAAAAACAATCAATGGATCCAGTCTGAAATATATAAATGCTTAAAAAGCACAAAATGGGAAACATGCTGAGAACACTTAATGGGATACAAACACTGACACTGAAGACAGAATAAGAGAACTCTTATCCTCTACCTTCCCATCCAGCACCCATCCTATCATACAATACTGTCTTTCCCACATCTTACATTAACTTGCATGTAAGTGTTGGTTTCCACATGTACTATGTTTTCTGAGGATAGCTTCAGTTACTGGGCTTTAGAATCTTGCCTGTGGGATCACATGGGAAATAGATCATAACACTAAAACAAAAAGGTAGACCACTACACACAATCCAGATTTGTCAAGTAGGTAAAAGATGCCCATACAAGGCTATCACAGGAAGAGGGAAGGTAAGCAATACCCTTCAAAGGTAGTAACAAGTACAGAGAATTACTAACAGAACCTCTTGTGTTTTAGCAGAATTGATCATGTTGCTCTTAATAGCTACACCACTCTGTCACACAACTTCCACTTGATATTTTTTGGGTACAGGCCACACAGAACTCCATGCCAGAGTGCTTGCAATTTCTACTGGTTTGACTTTGACCGACTGAAAAGATAAATTACTGAAATGTTTGCTAAAACATTAAAGTTTAAGCATAATGTCAGTAGGTGAGCATTACTTCATGGATATTAATGTAAAAAGCACTTACCATACTCCATCTAGTGATCTAAAGAACAGATGTTTGCATATGATTTATGGACACTGAAATATGTGCATATCTTCCATAAATAGTAATGTGTTCCAGTTACAAGGAGTGGAGAATTGTCATCCAAAAGGCTGGGAAACTGCAGGCAGTATTAGAATTTATTCACCAATTTCTTGGCTTTAAATAAAAAGCAAAGCTTACAGGTCCGGTGCTGCAGTCCTGTATTACAATTTCAAGCAGGACTAACAACATGATGTAATAAAAGGCAGAGCCAAGCTCAGTAAGTCAGATATAAAAGTATGTTTAGAACACATGAATGAAACTATGATTTGTTAAATAAGAGTAAGAATTTATATCAATTGAGGTACAAAAGCCTAAAGCAGTAAGCAAAAAGCCAGTATTGCCTTGGATATTTTTACATTAAATTTGGTTTCGGAAGTGCCTTTAATATCAAAACGTAGCAAAATACTAATCAAGCAAAATTCTAATGGGCAAAGCATAGTTTTGAACTCTGCAATTAAATTATTTCTGGAAGTGCAATCAAATATTTGATTGAACTAATATCATTGCTTCTCACATTTGTTCTGTTCCTAAATTAGCTTGGCTAATCAGCATCCCACCTCATAGCCTGTGCTATAAACATGTAATATTATCTGATGGGTTTAACTTCAAGAGCACAGTAAATTTTTGGACAGCAGACTTACTAAAAATCTTATTCAAAAGCTACAAACACACAAACTAGCATACTTGGAGATGCACTGGTTTCTGGGCCAGCAGAACTTTGATAGGACTCAATGAACTGCAGATTGCTGTGCCATGGCTGTGTCAAACAAGTTTTGATTTACTTTAAAATAGTCCTGTGTTCATTATTTCAACTAAAAATCTGTTCTATGGTGTGCCAGCATATTCCACCCCCTCATGCCACCCCCCTGCCTTATTTCATGAGCAAGAACTAGGATGATTCTGTATAACTTGAGATTTCTTAATGCCATAGTGTACAAAAAAGCAGTCTTGTAGAACGCAGAATTTAAACAAGGCAATCACAGTTTTTCCTCCTGTCTCAGGCTGGCATGCACTGCTGCTTCAAGATGTTATGCAGCTGCTACTTTTCTTCAGAGATGGCCATACTCCAGCAAATGGTGAAATACTCCCTAAAACATCATTTTTTTTCCAGCAGAGGTTTAGAGTGATGTTTCCATAGGTTGAAGTTAACATGAAAACATTGTGATTGTCTAGTTGGATTTCTTGAAAAACATTGGCCTTAGAATTACTGCATTAGTAATTAGGAGCCAATGCCATACTCCAGCACACTGTGGAAATAAGTGCAGTTAGTGTTTGTAGAATACAGGAGTCTTGGATTATAGTAAAGGTTATTTGATTCTGTTCTTGCCATTTTTAAGACCACAAAAAAATTAGCACATCTCATTGTCAGAAAAATTACTTCCTCTTGGTAGCTGCACAGAAATTTTTACTTCTAGCATATAACTCAAAGTCATCCAAGAGTAAATTGAATCCCTAATAACTACAGTCGACTGGATTTAAATTCTTTTGGTGGAAGCACAGCAGTGTCAATACTTACTGAGATTTAGTATTAGTGCTAATATATTGCAGGTGAAATGTCAATACAACATGGAAATTTGTCACTTGAGAAAGGTTTAATAAAAAATATGAACACAAAACAAAATAGAAAAGGTGATAAGAACCCATAACTGATCATTCTACTTTTTTTTTCCAGATGAGCAGCCAGGTGCCAGCTGGTGTAAAGGCAGATGCCACTGACGTCAATGGAGCAGTGCCAGTTTACACTAGCTGAGAATCTGATCCCAAGTGTGTTAGAACCATTTTTAGATGCTGACACTGGAATTCATTTTTGCAACACAATTAAAAATACATTCGTGCACTGTATTTCTTCCTGTCCCCAAGTGTATAACTGAAGCCTATTGACAGACCGTGGGAGAGGGCAAGTAGGACCTGGAAGTAGCCAATAACTGTATCTGTGAGATAACTTTTCAATACAAGTATTAATACTAATGTTCTGTTGGCTGTTATACATATGAATATTTGCCTTTAAGAAGCCTTAACTGCCCCACCCAGAAACAATTCAATGTCAAAAGAACAGAAGATGCTGAAAGCCGCACAGGCTCTATTTATGTATAACCATATAAACATGTTAATATACTGTTTTAATCAGTGTGCAAACTGAATAGAACATTTTAATGCATCATGAGGGAAACAATCTAAAATCATAAGCAAGTCCCCAAGCCTGAGATCTGCGTATTCACCTAAGTATTTGCTCCTAAGCAATCTCACAGCTTCATAAACAGTAATATTGTTCAAAGTACTAAAACAGCTGTTTGACGTAGCCTGTGAGCCAGACCTGTCTGATACCTATCATTTATATTTCATCAAGCATTTATGTGGCACAGGGAAAAGTAATGAAGAGAGGAAGAGGTAGGGTGATAAGCAAGGCACAGTACCCCTTCACAGTTCCAGGAACCACTCTTGGATTATTGTTTTACACAAAGCAGCCAGTAAACATGAGTACTGTATGACAGTTGTCAGTATTAACCAGAACAATGAAGGAGAACATTGGACTTCTTATTCAAGATAGCAACATCAAAATGGAAGAGCTAACCAATTAGAGTTAAAGATGCAGTTCACATAGCATTGAAGTAATCGTCTGCACAGCACAACACCCATATCTTCAATTTAGGTCAGGCCATCAAAAGGAGGAAGAGGAGTGAAGCCTGAAGATGAGATGCTCTACTTCACACAGTTGCCCTCTGGAAGGACTGGCAAAGGCAGTCACTTAAATTAAGTACAGGTCATCAGACAAGATATCTAATCTATTCCAAAGACAGGCAGCTCTAGCAATCCAAATCCCTGTGGCCTTTACAGCAACACAATGAACTACTTCCTCATGTACCTCTGTCAATTCATGTTAGGTTCCAATTTTTTTAAAGCGATATTTCATGCACACCATGACTCTATTGCTCACAGCAAGGAAAGTGCTTTGGTTTATTTATGACCTACTAACCTTAAATAAAAAAAAACAAACAACAAAAAACCCAACAAAAAACAAAACAACACAACACATACATCCAGTCTGAATGTTCACATAGGCCTGCAGATCTGAAGTGAAATTTAAAATCAAGCTGGCATTTGTATCAGCTAGCTAAGCCCAGTAAGGGATTAAAAAAAATATATATGAAACAAGATGAGAGAAGATGAAAGCATTTTTACCCTACATAACCTGCACACATCAGGAACCAGGCTGAAGGCTGGAGCTCAGGAATACTTTTTGTGGTTTTGTACTTATAAGTTCCATCCTGTTTCAAGAGAGCCTAGGTAACTGAGGAAATACTGAGGTTTTTCCATTATAGAGGAGTGGGGAGGGAACAGTAACAACCTGTGAAAGTTATTCCCTAAAATGAAATCCACCCTGCCTCAAGTTCTACATCACTACTCTCCTTCCTCTACTCCCCATCCTAATTGCTAGGTATCAGCCAGGCAAGACCCCATACTGAAAAATGAAGTGACAGGTAAAAACAAGGTAGAAGAACATAGGAATGAGTACTGAAAAAAATGGCATAAAAAAGAAAGCTTATAATAGGATAAATGTTAAACAGGAGTGACCTTAAAGTATGAAGTCTATTCATTTGGCTGAAACAAGGTGAGCAGATGCACAAAAGACTGCCGAGTTGGAGAGCCTTATTCTCTCATCTGTTTTGCTGGTGTAAAAATCTCCTTTCTTAACATCCATGGAATTAAACTGTGAAAAAGCCAGTAAAAATAAATTAAGGGTAAAACTAACTAAATAAATGAAATAAATCAAACTTCAGAGATGCTGCTGTATCAGAGAAAAGTTAAAAAACAAACCAACCAAAACTAAACAAAAAAAAACCTGATACCACCACAATTGAATTCAGGTATATTCATGATCACTGTAGCCTTTATAAACAAAACGCATCTAACATACCAAAAAAATCAGTTGATTCCTGTCTTGTGTAGTTCTCCAACAGGATATATTAATGATTCTGTCCTTTAGAGGTATTTGACAGAAAATTCAATTGAGTTAAGCGATGCAACAAAAAACCTCTACATGCAGAGCAATTCGCTGAAAGAAAGAGCTAGGACAGTCCTCATCATGGTTTGTTTACGAAGCAGCACACTGACTTGCAATCTTCTGGTGCTGGTTTTCTTTTTGCAAGTACAAAACAAAATAATAAAATACCCAACATTTATAAAGACTTTGAAAATAACCAGAAATGGACAAGAGTGCAAGACATCTTTTACCAAAGGTAAACTAACAATTCACAGAAACCTATGCATTAGCTGCATAATTTCAGTGCAGAAAGCTAAGAGTGGACCTAGCAAAAAAGAAGTCTGACCAGCTGAGCTACGAGACCACCTTCTGCAGAAGAACTCTGCTCCCAAATATAAATCAGGTAAAATTCCTGTTACCCTGTTTTGCCTTCTAATCAAGCTTTCAAAACCCTTCCCCTATAATGTGAAAACTGCAACATGTTACTTATTTACCTTAAGAATTAGGACAACGGAGTTTGAAAACTCAGAAGATTGGAAAAAATTGTTGTACCGCTGGAAATATTTAGGGATAAGCACTTGCCTGTGCAGTGATTAAGTTCTGGATATATACAGCATGCTGCCACCCAGAAAATGTATGTGAAGAAAATTAGGCCATCAAGCCTTGATGTTCATTTGCTTTTTTCCCCTCCTGAAAACTGTCATAACAAGCTCTTCAGGTATAAATGTGTGACGAAAAAAGGCCTTCTGTCTAAGACATTCATTGAGAAATTAAAACTTCTTAAAGAGAAAAATGCAGATTTTATCAATTGTAAGCAAGTTTAAATCCTATTGAACATGTCAGCAGAAGAAATTTTACTCAGTTGGTAATCTATAATTGGCAACACTAATTCATAAAACTCTTAGCCAGCTCTTTTTATGTATAGGATCTTGTGTTTTGGTTTGCTATGAAGCTTGGCTTCTTGCAAAAACAGACAAGATTAATCCACTTGTGCCTGGAACCTAACATATAATGTTGAAACCTGAATAAGTGAAATATGTTTTCTTTTCATAGAAAGAAGTTTAGAAAAACTGGCAACTCCTTTCACAGAGGCTCAAATAGGATGGACAGAGAAGGTTGTTGGTGTCGGTAAGAAAAAAATGAGTGAAGTTGCATCATCTGAATAATTAAAATCATTGTGTGAATTTTGATTTCCCCCCACCGTCCTTTCAGACATTTGAGGATGCTGTCAAGTCAATGGAGTTCTGTTGTAGTGGTTGCTTCAGTGAACATTCAACGCTGTCGGTGAGTTTGGAATTAAAGTGAAAACCATCGACCGTTGATTGTACCCTCCAGCTAACCATCCTCCTCCTTACTTCATGCTTTCAGGCTTTAACATCGAAGATAGCAACCTAATCACCACATGATGTTTCTTCCCTACTCTGCCAAGCTTTACAAAAAAGGTCACAATCAACATTCATTGCTGTCGGTGGGTTTAACTATGTGGACAAGCTCACTGAACAATGAATGCAACTGTGGCCCCACATTTTGCAGTTACTGATGAGAGGATCAGCTCTGAAAGCAGTAGTGAGTAGCAAATACTCATAGGCTACACTTTTCTGATTTAAAAAAGTAGTTGGGATATCTACTTTTTGCTTGCTTGTTTTTAACTTAGCTGACTAGAAAGGAAAACCTGGTTTTGTCTGGAATACTGTCCTCAATATTGAAACCATAAAAACTGTTATTCAGTATGTACATGGAAATAAAAATACAGGGAGCTTTGTGTGTATCCACTCCTGATGTCTCTGAGCACAAGAGGATAGAATATTTAAATGTTTTAACTAGGTATTATGAAATAGTTCAAAAGTTCCTTCTATGCTTGTCATGACAAATACAAATGAGAGCCTGAGTTCAAAGATACAGATAGAATGTTATACCAAATGAAGTATTAAATTTTATGTGAAACTGATTTTCAGCATTTAAACACCATTAGCAAATATTATTACATTTGCCTTTTTTTAAGGATCTGAAAGATGACAGAAATATATATCCAGAAATAACAACGAAAGAGTAGTTAAATTGTAAAATCGCTGTAAACTTTAAGTATCTATGTCACACTCAGTATTGCTAATAGTAATAAGAAAATAAAAGTGTAAATAAAGCTCAAAATTTGTCCTTATGTCCTTACAACACTTTGTTACCCTGGTCAGACACACAGAAGTACCAGTCTACTTTCTTACATGACACGGTTATGCAAGGTAAGTTCAGCCTTTAGATTTGATTCAACTCTAATATTCCAAAGCAAGAATTGCTTTCAAAAGTTAGGTAATCTTATATCATTCATATTGTTATAATGTGGGGTCCATCAACAATACTTAAGTCTGATGATTTACAAAGCTTACTCAGCACATCACTTAAACAGTTGTCTTGTGTATGTGTATGCTTGATTTATCCATATGTCACAATATAGCAACTGAACAGGATACAGGAACTTTGTGCCAGACTACTTAAATTATAAAAATATATTTCAGTCATGAAAGAGATCAGTCCTCAATCATATGAGAGAGATATTTATAGGAATAAAAAGAATAATCAGTTCCTCAAAAACAATCACACTAACAAATTAACTCCTGGAATTGTTTGGGCATTATTTAAAATGCATATTTGGGAAGATAATATTTCGTTGCTGTACTATTTACTACAGAGGAACCCACAGGGTCTATTGCTCACTGAATATTATTATGATCAGAGGCAGCAAAGTATTAAAAGGAAGGGTTGCTATGAATGTATGCATACACACATAGTGTCCCAGCCACACTGTCCAGAAGTAAGCCAATAAGTTTCCACATATCTACAAAAATGTAAATTTGAATTACTACCAACTTACGTATTACAGATGAAGATCATATTAAAAGCAGGACTTAAAGGTATATACTCCATCTAGAAGGAAAACCTTCTAAATTAAGCTGCTCTTGCAACAGCCTCTGTCAAAGTTTCTTATTGGAACCTACAAATCAGGTCTTGTTTCTACCACATACTTGTTGTAATTGTAGTATGTATTTTTAACAAAAAAAATGCTTATGAAAAGAGAAGATTCTGGAATTTGGCAGCACTGGAAAGAGCAAGTGTCCTAGAGCATGAGTTGTTTCTCTCTATGTTTTCTATAGAATCATAGAATAGTTAGGGTTGGAAAGGACCTTAAGATAATCAAGTTCCAACCCCCCTGCCATGGGCAGGGACACCTCACTCTAAACCATATTACCCAAGGCCTCGTCCAACCTCGCCTTGAACACTGCCAGGGATGGAGCATTCACAACTTCCCTGGGCAACCTATTCCAGTGCCTCACCACCCTAACAGGAAAGAATTTCCTCCTTATATCCAATCTAAAACTTCCCCTGTTTAAGTTTTAACCCATTACCCCTTGTCCTATCACTACAGTCTCTAATGAAGAGTCCCTCCGCAGCATCCCCATAGGCCCCCTTCAGATACTGGAAGGCTGCTATGAAGTCTCCACGCAGCCTTCTCTTCTCCAGGCTGAACAGCCCCAACTTTCTCAGCCGATCTTCATATGGGAGGTGCTCCAGTCCCCTGATCATTCTTGTGGCCCTTCTCTGGACTTGTTCCAACAGATCCATGTCCTTTTTATGTTGCGGACACCAGAACTGCACACAGTACTCCAAGGGAGGTCTCGCAAGATCAGAATAAAGGGGCAGGATCACCTCCTTCGACCTGCTGGTCACACTCCTTTTGATGCAGCCCAGGTTACGGTTGGCTTTCTGGGCTGCAAGCACACACTGCTGGCTCATGTTCATTTTCTTATCGACCAGCATCCCCAAGTCCTTCTCCACAGGGCTGATCTGAATCTCTTCTCTGCCCAGCCTGTAGCTGTGCCTGGGATTGCTCCGACCCAGGTGTAGGACCTTGCACTTGGCATGGTTAAACTTCATGAGATTGGCATCAGCCCACCTCACAAGTGTGTCAAGGTCCCTCCGGATGGCATTCCTTCCCTCCAGCATATCAACCGAACCACACAGCTTGGTGCCATCGGCAAACTTGCTGAGGGCGCACTCAATCCCACTGTCCATGTCAGTGACGAAAATGTTAAACAAGACTGGTCCCAACACAGATCCCTGAGGGACACCACTCGTTACTGGTCTCCAGCCGGACATTGAGCCATTGACCACAACTCTTTGTGTGTGGCCATCCAGCCAGTTCTTTATCCACCGAGTGGTCCATTCATCAAATTGATTTCTCGCCAATTTAGAGACAAGAATGTCGTGTGGGACAGTGTTGAACGCTTTACACAAGTCCAGGTAGATGACATCAACTGCTCTACCCCTGTCCATCAGTTCTGTAGCCCCATCATAGAAGGCCACCAAATTGGTCAGGCAGGATTTCCCCTTAGTGAAGCCATGCTGGCTGTCACCAAGCACCTTGTTGTTTTTCATGTGCCTTAGCATGCCTTCCAGGAGAATCTGCTCCAAGATTTTGCCAGGCACAGAGGTGAGACTGACCGGTCTTTAATTCCCTGTGTCATCCATTTTCCCCTTCTTGAAAATGGGGGTTATATTTCCCTTTTTCCAGTCATCGGGAACTTCACCTGACTGCCATGATTTTTCAAATATGATGGCTAATGAGTGGCTTAGCAACTTCATTTGCCAGCTCCTTCAGGACCCACAGATGGATTTCATCAGGACCCATGGACTTCTGCACGTTCAGATTTTTAAGATGGTCTTGAACCAATTCCTCTCCTACAGTGGGCCCAAGGTCTCCATTCTCACAGTCCCTGCATCTGCCTTCCAAGACTTGGGTGGTGCGGTCAGAGTCTTTGCTAGAGAAGACCAAGGCAAAGAAGTCATTCAGAACCTCAGCCTTCTCCAAATCCTGTGTAGCTAGTTCACCTGGGAGCTTCCCAAGGGGGCCTATATTCTCCCTAATCTGTTTATTTGCTATGTACCTGTAGAATCCCTTCCTGTTATCCTTAATATCCCTAGCCAAGTTTAATTCTAACTGGGCCTTAGCTTTCCTAACCTGGTCTCTAGCTTCCCGGACAATAACCCTGTACTCTTCCCAGGCCTCCTGTCCTTGCTTCCACTTTCTATAAAACTCTTTTTCCATTTGAATTTTCCTCAGGAGCTTCTTATCCATCCAAGGAGGTCTCCTGGCCCTCCTGCTGCACTTCCTTCTAGTTGGGATGCTGACAATGTCTGAACAATTAGCATTGGGAGGGATAGATTCCAGTGCAGGAAAAAGGTAAAGTCACACCCTTTCCCTAAAACAGTATTTTTCCCAAAAATACATGTTTTTCTCTAATTTCTATCAATTTTCATACAATCAGTAATGTCAAATAGTAAGAACTCAAACCCTACTAGAACAGCGTACAAAAACCTTAGCCAGCATTGACCTGGGCACAGATAATAAGTTGACTCCCATTAGAAGTGTAAAACAAATATTTTCACCTGGACTGCAATTTTTTACGGGTTTCTGAAGAACAGACTCCGCAATAACAATTTCTAGTGATGCTTAGGTTAAGTTTTACCAGTAATTTTCATGACATTGTTTTCATATAGTGACAGAAAAATGTCTTAATGTATGGATATATAATTTCACATAATACTGAAAGCCAACTTCTACACACTAGTAATTTACAGAATGTTCACTGGCAAAACAATACCATTATTCCACACCCCACTAGAGATGCTGGTTCACACACGTCTTTGCTTATGCTGTAAAGCCACAGAACAATCCCAATTTGGCAATGATAGCTGTGAAATACTGTAGAAAGGTTTCACGGTCATTTTCATGTGTTTTTGTTAATACAATACATATGTACCCAGTGCAATGCCCACAGGCCCTAGAGACATTCTGGAAAATTGCTCCTCAGTGTCACTGTAAATAATGCACTCACAGCAGTATTTTTAGGTCAAGCCTATCAAAGTTGCAGTAAATGCAATGGACCTTGACATAATAGGAGCACTAGCTTTGCAGCAACAGCAGAGAAGAAGAAATATACTTTCTACACACAGTAGATCAGTTGCTGCTCCCCTTTGCATACCGTACTGTGCTTGAAGACAGTGGAGGTAAAACTAAGGCCTTGCTATAGGGTTTGGAATTAGTGGGTTTTTATTTATCTCTAAATGTTCTTTTCTTGTTCTTGCCTGACTTCTGGCATAAGATGGGTCAAAACATCCAACTCAACAGTTTCTGCATCAAGTCTATAACTCCTGCTTAGCAAGTACAGAAGGACACTTGATTACACCTTTAAAACAACAAGTTGAAGAATTCCTGGGATAGAAATAGTCTGCTATTCAGGACCATGGTAGGATGAATACACTAGATTCACTTTCTGGCACAGCCTAACAACACCACACTAACACTTCTTGCTTTGCAGATGGTGAAGTGACGTACAGCAAGTTAAAGACTCAAATATAGTAGTAGTCTATAATTGAACTGGAAGCAGTTTCTAGATGATCTTGGACTATAACCATGTGCCTTCCTGGGAATAAGATCCTACAATCCTGACTTATGCTTAATGTGAACACCATGTTTCTGTTGCTGACCACCCCCTTCTTCTTTTCATGTATACCTTTGTTACTTGAAAGAATTACAAAGAAAATGAATTTTTATTTTAAGCACTGGCATGCTGACACCCACTCCAGATTAATTTTTATATCTTGCCCTTTATTTAGGTTTGTGCAGTCTTTCCTTAGCTTTTCCTGGGTTTTACTAGTCTTCCTATACATCTTCCTTGAGTGCGAGTGCCAGAAACACAGACCACATTCCAAACTGCCCAGCCAAGGCTAGCTGAACTAGTCTGATGTCTCCTGTTTTACAAGCAATCACTGGTCCTTTTCAGCCAAAAATAGCATTTGCAAAGGTACCACACAGTTAACACATTTAAATTTATCTAACAATATTCCATAGATACATAAACCTCCAGAAGCTCTTTCCTAGTTTGCAGGAGATTATTTAATCTCCTTGAAATGCAGCATTTGTAATTTTTTGAACTAAGATTTGTTTTTCAAAATACAGCTCCTCCTCTCTCCAAAAAATATTCGCTAGGGTTCTGAAATACAGAAACCGTGGCAGCATTTAGCAGAAGGAATATCAAGACATATCAAGGATGAGGGGGTCATTAAGAGCAGCCAACATGGTTTCACCAAGGGGA